AGTCTTAGTTATATATTGGCAAAATTTTTATTATTATAGAAAAATTTTCCATAAAAGAAGAATGTTTTGAAATATGTAATTTTTTTCTCCATTTTTTTGCCAAAAAATTGCATTTACATATTTTTTTTATTGTAATAATATTCTTAAAACAATTTTTATGCGTATACTACTTCAGATGACACTAAATATAAAAAATAGTTTACTTGTATTTTTCAAAATCAGGGTACCAAATGAAGCCCTTAGAACTTAATGCTAGAATAAGAAAAAAAATAATAAACATAAGTATTTGTTTTCAAATGTCATATATCGAAGGATAAGTAAAATTAAGATAACGAAGGCTGAATCTTGTTATGTATTATCTCTCTCCATATGTTTATAAAAGTACTAAGGTTACTTAAGCGATAACGAAAAAAAAATTTAATTATTTGTAAAAATCAGCGCAACGTTTGAACACACAGACAACGAGAAGGAAAAATTAAATAACCGAAAGTAGAAACTTTTCTGGTTAGAACAAAGCAAACAGATAATTTTCTCCTTTACTGAACTTCCTGTGTCACGGCATTACGAAGATGGAGAGACAAAAAAAATTTCCAATTGCACTTTTTTTCTTTCCATTTCATTTTATCACATTTTGGTACCGACCAAATTACAGGAGGAGACAAAAAAAAAAGGGAAAACAAAAAAACAAATGACTTTGGAGAGCAAAAAAGTATGTATATCGCGTCCACTACCTTGTTTCACACAATCCACTATTGCCTCTTTTCCCATTGGCTATTTTATTACATGCGCATGTGAGCTGGCACAACAAATAGAATAATAATAAAAGAAAGAAAGAAAAGTATACATAACATCGTATTGGGAGGTAAAGAACAAAATATTCTTAACCTTTTCAGTGAAAATGGTGGGGGAAAAAAGAGCCTAGTTTGTTTGTTTTTTTCAGCACTTTTATTTTTAACTGTTTCGGAGATATTCTCCTTTATGTTTCGCCGCATTTCGAATTGAAAGAAAGAAAGCTGGACTACCCTGATTCGTGTGAAAAGAGTTTTCTTTGGAACCCTCTTTCCAAGGAGGCGTAAACAGAACATTAGCTGTCACATAATTACTCAAATAGGAGGCTGTTTGGGTGAGATATTTACTGACTCTTTCTTGTTCCGTCTTTCTACATCTGCATAATAATAGGGCGCCTTTTTTCACTCTCTCTTCAGACTTTTTCAACCTGAAACTGGAAATGAAAGGGTTTAAAATGTAATTGAGTAGCCATGCAAAACGTAAAACATCCTCCGAGAAAAATTTAAATTACAGTACAAAGTACCCGATACAAAAAAAAATTGTCTGCTAATATTAACATTAGTCTATTACGTCTTCTGTATGGAAGTGATATTTATGCAAATTTTCATTGCACTTAAGTGTTGAAATATTTTCCATTCCCTGATTGGTCGGAAAGATTGATATGAGGTGAATTCGAGTTTTGGAACAAAGTTTTTCTGTGGTTGGGGATGTTATTTAATAACAATAGATTCATAACATTAATTATTTTCTGAACAATAATTTAAGGTATGAGGAACACGTTGAAAATGACCAAATTCAGTTAAGACAGATATTTTTATTTTTTATTTTTTTTAATAGAGATATTGTGACGAATCTTTACGGAATCTTTCCACTAATATTCTTAGGCGCCTTTGGGGATTGTAAATTCGCGTATATTTCCAATCAACTCTAAAAGGAGAAAACGGGATATGTAAAGTAGATAGGGTATTTTTTAAATAGAGCGTTGTAAGTTAGCGGAGATGAAGGCTATTGAGCCAGCAGCAGTAGTGACAAAGTTTATAGGATTCAATTGGATTACGATAGTGGAGCATTACTGTTAGTATTCAGCGAAGGAACCTTAGGAAGTTAATATACCCGAAGAGATCAAAGTACTACCAGGTGATATATTCTAGTTTAATACCGCTTACCACAAGCGTTAGTTTAATAAAATTAGTTTAAGTTAATGAAAGCTAATAATTCAAATTGCGTGTATTTCTCAGACCTATTCCGGTAAACCTTATTGATATTGCGAGTAGTTATTGATTAATTTCCTATTTCATAATTTAAGTTAATATTAAAGGTAAATCCCTTTTTGACGTAGACATAAAGCCTACTATTTGTTATAAGATTTTTGATATTTCAACCAAGTGAATAAATATAAGTTATTATTATACAAATGGCGTCTGGTTATTCTTTGCCTCAAATTAATCTTAGTGTCCAGAGTGGAACCCAGGGGGGTTCCCACAATATCTTTTAGCTTTACAAAACATACTTTGTTTTGATTCAACGCTACCTAGAGGCCAAGCTACAATCAATTTTATACAGTTAGAAGAACTTGAAATGGGTCTTTGATCTACCAGAAGTGGGAATTTAAATTGTTAAAAATCTATCATGGCGAGTCTGATAACTCAAAATATAACAAATGTATTTCTATAAGACTTTTTCAACCTGATATTTTTGCTATTTTCTAGAGAATGTACAAAAATATTTCTTATTGTATGAATATTTTTTGAGTTAAGACCTGTTATTTAAATAATGGTCTCATAAAGAATGTGACTTTTCTCATAATGTCTACTCTCAATCAGCTCTAAAATTTTCAAATTTTAATAAAACATTAAAATTTTAGTACATTCTCTAGATAAATGTATCTAATTTGTTTGGGTAATACTTTTACTAACATAAGTTTATTACTTTTTCTCTAATTGCTTCGAAGTTTTACAAAAGTATTGCTAAAATTTCACTTATAATTGTGATTTTTGTCACATTTAGGCAATTTATTTTAAATATTGTTGGTTTGGTTAAATATTAGTATTTATTGTTATTGAGTCCTAAAAAAGCAATTATAATGTTTAAATATGTTATTTTGTCAAAAAGTATTCCGAACATGTTCGAATACCTTAACTGCACCCGACAAATTTAAACTTAATATAATGCAATCGAAATAATAATGTTGGAATGTTTTATATGTATTATATACATATGTATTATATATATATATATATATATATATATATATATATATATATATATATATATATATATATATATATATATATATATGCGGGAAGCAGTGGTGCAAACATGAATTTTTCAAAGGGAAGGGGGAAGGTTCGGAAGACCACCCATCTCGTATCATGCTCCAATATGCCGCCCAAGGTATTGTTTTGATTTTGTCAATTTTCGGGAAGAAAAAACAGTAAAAATTTAATTATTGAATAAATAATTAGCTTTAATTAATAAAATTAATTATTAATAAGAAATAATTAAATTTTACGTACTGTATACATAAGATGATATTTAATCGAAAAAAAATCAAGTTTTTTTTTGGGGGGGGGGGGGGCTCCGGACCCTGGTGTTGTGTTGTACAGTTATATTACCTTTTAAAAAATTTACTATTTTATTTAGATATTTAATTTTCGCTCTCTGGCTAAAGTATGTAGATTAATTTTTTGCTAAACCTTTGGCATTGGAAACTTTTAGAGTTTTAGTATTACGTTCATAATCTTTAGTACTTATATAGAATCTTATTCTTACACTATTTCTTTTGTTTGCAGCTTACTAGTAACGGCAAATATTGGGGAAGGCTGGCTGGCACTTTATAACTATGATTAACCTTAAAATCTTCGTTCCTAAGACTAAGAGTTTGCTATCTTATACTACAGTGGTACCGTATTTTTTTATCTATATTGTCCTGTTATGTTTCTATTGTGATTGCTTTGCTCTCTTAGATTTATGCAATTTAGTATATGATTAGTGTTTGCATATATACACACATGTGTAGTGGGGCATATCCGAAGGACAGAATTCGCGACCTATGGATCCGAAGCCGAGTAACATAACCACTAGACAAAAGTGATCACCCCTGTCCGGAGGCTGTTACTGGCTTATGGAGATACCACCACACATGTATGTATGTATTTGATGCAATTTTAATTCAAGCTTTCCGAAAGATTACTGATTATTGATTTAAAATTGAAATTTAAACATTTTTAAGACAATTCTGACCATTAACTTAACTTTAATATAATTTAATTGAGTTGCGTGTAAAGATTTTTTTTTCTGAAATAATTATCACGGATGAGAAAACGAGAAATTCTAAATATATACTTGGTTGTAGAATTTATTGGTTTGGTTCAAATTACATATCTATAAAAGGCATCATTCTTAAAGACTTTTTATAAAAAGTATAAATTCTTGTAAAAAAAAGTCAAAAAAGAGAATAATGACTGTAACAAGTAACAACGATTTCTGGAGTTATTCAGAGTGGTAAGCTTTTAAAATAACGTATCATAAAATTCCGGTTAACTCGAAAACATTTTATCTACATCTATAAAGAGAGAAAAAATAATTACAAGCAATTGTTTTTTTAAAAAATGGGGATTGAAGGAAAGTGCACAGATGTAAACAGATTATTCTATGAAAAGAATTACGCTTATATATTCAACTCATTAATCAAATACACAGAATAATTGTATTGACTCGGGTATAGAATATTATTCAAATTCTTTTAAACTGAAACTAAATTACTTTAAAAAGCACAAATCAATAATAAAATCAGGAAATTTTTCTTATAATAAATGCTTAGAATTCTAAATCCTTTAAAGTAAAAGATCACGCCCTAATAAAGTCCATATCCTCTTTTTTTTTTCGTTGTTTCTTTTTCAATTCCTACTATTAGTTCACACTCTCCCAATATATATATATATATATATATATATATATATATATATATATATATATATATATATATATATATATATCTTGAACAAATTTTCAATCATTAATAAAATACTTTCTATTCATCCATTCCATTCAAGTTCAAATATATTTTTTTAAACGTGTAGTGGATGACACTTGATGCTAATACAGTTTCTTTAAATATTAATTCATGAATTAAATTAAAAAATCAATAAATAGTAACAAATAAAAATAACAGTCCAACAGTATATATAGAAAGGAAAATCGTTCGTTGTGTTCCTGTAGCGCAATGGATAGCGCGTTAGACTTCTAATCTAAAGGGCTTAGGTTCGAATCCTACCTGGGATGGCTTAATTTCTGAGAATGTTTTTTCTGCTTACTATACTATTTTATTGAAATAATTAAATTTAATCAGTGAGAGAATAAATAGTAACAAACAAAAATAATAGTCCAACACCCTATATAGAAAGGAAAATGGAAAATTGCAAGGAAAATCGCTTTATATTTTGCCACTTTATATTGTGATTCTGTCATATGTATATACATATTTATATTAATTGTAATTATTTAATAAAATTGACTAAAATAATTTTTTTCTTTGTTGACCTAAGTAAAAACTGACTTATTATTCTTTTTATATTTTTTTTCTAATAGACTGAATATTGGCAACTAAACCTATGCAGACATGGCAAGTCCCCAAATGTGATAACCATTTCATTATGGCATCATCTAATGGCGGCCCTCGTTCCCAAATTTTGACGCTTTAATTAATTTAATTTAAGCTCTGATCAGATGTTTGATATTTCTGAGAACAAATTTTGAGAGAGTACCAGAGCCAAATTGAAACTCAAGTAATCTTATATAGCTCACATAATCTTATCGCAATCGTGCTTATGTTTTTCTCATCCAGAACATTTATTGATGCTAGTCGTGATCGAACCCGCAACATATCCTCTTTCTAAATCATTTAGCTGTACATTACATACATATGCAATGCATATGCAAAAGAAAAAATTCTTAGAAATTCCTTTACTTCATTTTAAAGTCATTCGAAAACAAATTTTTACCTAGCACAGATAGCTTAACTTCTCCCATTAGCATTCATTCGTTATTGTCTAGGTATTGGCTGTGATACTAATTCGGATACAAATACCTACATAATTGGTCAAGACAGATATGCATTCACTTTTGTTGAACAGTTTGTTGTATTCACTTTTGTTTAATCTTCATTTTTGAAAATTGTGACGGGGCTTTCATTGCGATTTCATCTAACTGTCCTCGGGTTCTTTGGGGCCAGAATGGCAATTCTTTCCAACCAACTCAAGAAGAAGAACGGAACGTGGTTATGTAAATTAGGAATCATATATATATTGGAAGATAGCATTAGCGAGAGGTCGATGTCTATGTCTATGTGCAGAAGGATTGCTAAGTGGGAAGTGAAGTCGCTAAGTAGAGAGGTGGTTGTAAAGTGATTTGAGATAAAGATTAGATGAATCCTAAGTCCGTGAATTAGCCTAGCCGTGGCGGTACAGACGAACTAAAAGTGGGCCCGAGATCAAAAGGAACATAGTCGGATTAAAGCCACAACAGAAGTGATAAAGGCGTAGCTGTTTACCTAGGATATAACGGTAAGCGAATTTATATAAGCTATAAGGAAAGTGCGTATATTAGTGAGATAGGAATTAATCTATAAAGTTAGATTCAGGGGTCAATTGCGCGATTATTAGGTAACACGTGTTGCGTCTTCTCATTCTGGATCATCCTCCTTAGGTTATTATTGCTGTGGATTGTGTGTAAACTAAGAACTTAATAAACATATTTTATTATGAATGATTTGAGTGGTTCTTCGTTCTTCCCCACAGAAACAGGTCGCGTAGATAGTGTAGAACGTGTGTCCCCACGGGTGGGGGCTTTACAAAATAAACTACATAGTTTTTTTCTGCTTTTAATACAATTTAAATTTTTACTCAAAATAAATTAGAAGTAATTTTACAACCCTAACTATGGTGCTAGTATGCATTATTCATAGGTAAAAATGTTAATTCTAAACTTTACGACAACCGATTAGCGGTTTTTGGTGTTTGGGGTTTCGAGTAAAGATCAGCCAAAACAAGTTTTAAATTCAAATTTATTATCCCTTGGACTTAAACCACACAATTAAAGGTAGGAAATGCACTAAGTAACTAATTAGAAGAGCAATCGCACGACTTAAGGTTACTTAACATATGAGTATAATTTACTACACTTAATCTTAGAAAACTCTGGACTTCCCCGCTATAATTCACCTTAAATCTCTTGCTTAATTGTACGAACTCCGGTCGTAAATCTAAGCTCAATTTTATCACTTATTCTCCAATTATCAATAATCTACCATCCAGCGACTATCCGTCGACTAACATCACGCACCTAAATGTCAACGTTTAAATAGAACCACTCATTTGGATAAATAAAGTTTTCTTCAAGAGAAAGTTTTTCTCAATGGAACATATATAATTAAAAAGAATAAATTTATCCGAAATGGATTAGTAAAAGGATAGACCCGTTACACAATGTCTCGAAATGTAAATCACGACAACAAAAGAACATTTTTGAAAATTCTACTCATAACTTCGAAACTTTACTCTCATATAAATTCTAAATAAACAAATATTTTAATGTGAGATTTTTCAAAATTACTCAAAAAAATTATATGATTTGAAATTTACGTGAATTTTTATCATTTAGAAGCATTTCTCATGTTATTCCACGTATGTGAATTTAAGAAGAAGCATTCAAAAATTTTTAATGTTTTTATTTTGCATTGTTACTATATAAATTATAGTAACAATGCAAGTAAACAAATATTAATGGCTGTACGACCAATCGATTCTTAAAAATGTCCCTTAAATTTTATGGAGATGGAAAAATTGCTGCGCGAAGTGACTCTTTAACAAGCTTATCTTTGCATTTGTAAGCATAAGTCAGTGGCGTAATGTACACCCCCGCAACCCACACATCGCGAGGGGGCCCAAAGCTCGACTGTCGCAAAGTACGTATTTAACCAATTTATAAAATATTAAAGGCAGGGGTTCTCCGTTACACCACTGGTATATGTACACTGTTAAGTATTAAATATTTCTAACTGGATTTTTGCTTATTTTAGAGTGAAGATAAAGGAATTTTTAAGCGTAAGATTTCACATATTTTAGCAAAATTATTTCACTAATTTGCAAACAACGACAGTAAATATGAGCTTTTTAAACATGGGTTTTCTTTCAAACTTCACACTTTGCGTAACATAATTTTTTTAAATCTTAAATTTTGAGAGTGAAAGGGAATGTTGAGTCAAATTGAATTTATTCAATAATTAGTTTTCATAATAAGTAAATAGTAATTAATAATTAGTTTAAACAATGCGAATATTACGAGCAAAATTTAATTCTTTAAATAATTAGTTTGAATAAATTAAGTTTTATTAACTGTAGTTAAATTATCGTATTGCCATTCAAAACAATCGTGAATAGAAAAAATTTCAGTTTAATTGCGCACCTTGAAAAGTGAGAAAAAACATTTTAAAGTTTGAACTCACGTCGCCAAGATGATCACCAAGTTACTAAAATTTGGTCACCAAATATGATGCCAAAGTGGCTATGCCTGTAATTCTTTAAAAAATTAGTTCTAATCAATTAATTGTATTAATTATAATTCAATAGCCGTATTGTCATTTAAAACAGCCGTGTATAGAAAATTTCTGCTTAATTGAGCGTTATAAGAAATGAGATAAAATAGCTTTAAAGTGTTTTGACACAAACATAGTTACAATGTGAGTGGAAGAAAAAAAACCCCATTAACAAGTAATATAAAAAAACATTTAAGTCAATTCCTACATAGGTCAACAAAGAAAAATGTTATTTTAGTTACTTTTTATAAAATAATTACAATTAATATAAATATGTAGCAACATATGACAGAATCACAGTATTAACTGGAAATTAATTATTATTAATTATCAATAAAGTATCATATTATCATCCAAAACAATCATGTATATAAAATTTCAATTCAATTGAATGCTTTAAGGTATCCGACTACGTTCGGAACCGTGATTTGCAAAAGCGCATAAATGGATAATTTTCATGATATTTAGTGTCACTTAGATTAGAATATATGCATAAAATTGTTTTAAGGACATTTGGACAAAATAAATTTATTTAAATATAATATTTTGGCAAAAAATTAACTTAGAATAATCTTTTTTCCAAATGTTAGCCTTTTGTGAAAAATGCTTCTATTATAATAATATTTTACCTGTATGTAGCTCAGATCTCTCTCCAGAGGCTCAACTAGAATTTTTGAAATATATAACTTAGAAGTGGGTTTATTCATATTTTACGACAACAGAGGGGAGAAATTTTAAGAAAAAAAACGCCAATAATTATTTCAATTGGTGGTAACTCTGAAAATAATGTGAATTTTTCAAAAATTCTAGTTGAGCTTCTGTAGAGAGTTCTGAGGTTTATACAGGCAAAATATTTTTATAATAGAAGCATTTTTCACAAAAGAAGAACATTTGGAAAAAAGAATATTCTGAGTTAATTTTTTTGCCAAAATATTATATTTAAATAATTTTTTTTTGTTAAAATGTCCTTAAAACAATTTTATGCCTGTATTCTAATCTGAGTCTTGTATTCTAATCTATATATCATGAAAACTATCCATTTATGCGCTTTTTTAAAACCACGGTTCCGAACGCAGTCGGATACCTTAAAAGGCGAGAACAAAAATCTTTTAAAGTTTTAACCCAAGTCGCTAAAAATGAAGCCAGTGTGGCTATATATGTAATTCTTCAAAGAATTTATTTCAGTCAATTTTTTTTTAATTTTAATTAATTATAATTAAATTACTGCATTGCCACCCAAAATAATCGTGTACATAAAATTTCAGCTCAATTGAGAACTTTAAAATGTATTTAATTAACGATTGAAAATTTGAACAAGAAATAAAGTGTTTTTTTTTTCAGGTATAGAAGTTTAAGTTGGCATTACTTTCCAAGATGGCGACCGATTTAACAACTGTCAAGTGATTTATTCTCAGTTTGGTTTGGCAATTCATCATGAATTGACTCACGCCTGAACAACGCTTTCAAATTGTGCAATTTTGTTTAGCGATGAAGCGCACTTCTGGTTGAATGGCTACGTCAACAAACAAAACTGCTGCATTTGGAGTGAAGCTAATCCACAAGTGTATGTCGAAACACCGTTACATCCAGAAAAACTGACTGTTTGGTGCGCTTTATGAGCTGGTGGAATCATTGGTCCGCACTTCTTCAAAAACGATGAAGGCCGCAACGTTACAGTGAATGGTGATCG